GGCACCCCCTAGGGGAGAGGGGGTCGAGGCTTCCCTGAATGTTCCCAGCCCCCTTCTAGAAGGAACGAGGGCCCGTTTCCGGGTGTGTCCATTACCAAGGTGCTCTCCATGGCCCCTGTGGACCTTGCCAAAGCATCGACGGTTCTGTGTAGGAAACCTGTGCTGACCACAGGGTTCTGTGGGGAAGGAAGTCAGAGGAGAGGGTCTGGGAGGAGGGTCCAGACCTGCCAAATGGGGACCCTGAGGACGGGGCTCAGCAGTGGACACAGGAACAGCCCCAGAGCCGCTGCCCTCACGGACCTGCAGGACCTGCCTCTCACCCAGAGCAGTGCTCTCGCCACAGCCTGTCCTGAGGAAGTCACGGGACCCTGGCGCCAATTCAGACGATGATGGCAGACCCTTAGGTCCTGTTTGCCGGTCCCGGAATCTTGCATCTGGGCCACAGGGGGCCTGAGCCCCATCTACCCCAGTACAGCCAGAACGCTGGCCAGGATTCCCTCCAGCGAGGGCACCTCCAAGCTCGTGCTCCATGGAATTCATCTGTACCAGTCAGTGGCTGTCAAACTCATTAGTCAACAGAGCCAAATATCAATAGCACAACAAATTAAATTTCTTTTGAGCCAAATTTTAAAATCTAACACCACTTCTTCAAAATAGACTTGCCCAGGCCATGGTATTTTGTGGAAGAGCCACACTCAAGGGGCCAAAGAGCTGCATGTGGCTCTCGAGCCACAGTTTGCTGACCACGGATCTGTACCATCCATCATTTATAATCTATTACCTATTCTCTGTCATTTACCCACCTATCAGTCATCTGTGTGTTATTCATCACCTATCATCCATCCATCCATAACTGGCCTGGCAAAACCCAAGGTCTGGTGAGGGGCCCGAGACGCCTGAGAACACTGCAGGCCCTTCCCCAGGCCCCTGTGGTGGCCGCTCAGGCCCTGGCTGACCTTGGTCCAGTGCCATCCCACAAACGAAGGCACCAGCTAACACCATCCATGCTGACATGGCACTGGCTGTCCCAGGCCCACCGTGGAGCCACCACAAAGGAGATGTTTGGGTCCAGGGGAGATGTGTTCAATCTCTACACACACAATTTCAAACCAAGTTTTGAGCTACAGTTTTCGTATTGATTCCCTTCTAGTTTTCTAAACAAATTAATATGCAATTTTTTATTTATTTTTTCTAAGTATGGCTGACCCTTTTGGATTTATGAGGCCGTGTGAGAGGAATTATGTATTTTACACACATGCATTTGGCACAGCAATAAATCTCCCACATGGAAGCCCTGCAGGTCTGCCTCCGGTCACACAGTCTCCCGTCTGGTGGCCGCTGTCATGGCCGTGGCCGTGCTCACTGCTGGAACCAGGGCCCCTGCAGTGACCTCCCTGCATGGCCGGCAGCCTCGCCATCATCTCTCGGCCTGTGGCCCGTGCCCTTGAAGGGGGGCTGCTGAGGGGACTTGTGAGAACGCTGGCCCTCCTCCGAGGACAGAGGCGTCGGGGAGGCGGCTGTAAGGTGACTGGCTGCAGGACTGTGTTCCCGGAGGGGAAGAAGGTTTGATCCCGGCCACGTGACGCATGGGCAGAGGGCACAGCCTCCAGAGGTAGTGACCCTTCACTAGCAGGATTCTCCCATCCAGGCCTCGGCGTGCTCGCCTGGCTCTGCTCGCCAGGAACCTCTTGGGCCAATAAATCTTGATACCTGCCTCCAGAGAAGTCATTATCTTTCATAGAAAATGATTATTTCTCCGTTAAACCCCACATTTAATTTTCCCGTCATCTGTCTCTCTCAGCTTCTCCCGGTAATGGTCCCTCCTCCACAAAACACCTTCGAGACTCCGAGTCCCAGGTCACGTGACCAGCTTATGAGGCGCTTTCATTTCTCACCTGCAGGACCCTCTCAGCCTCTCGCATAAACACAGTGAGACCACGGGCGCGTACAGAGGGGTGTGCCACACTCACTTGGCATCCACTTACCCGGTGACTTCCTGTGTCCAGGGGTCTGGCTCCCTGAGTGTGCTGGCCTCCGGGAGCCGGTCCCCGCAGGCCAGATCCTGCATTACCGGGGGCAGGCTGTCTGGCTGGTGTCCAAACAAAACCAGGCCCAGCTAGTCTGTCTTGGTCCACCCTGGCTCCCAGGCAGCTCTGAGGCCCCAGAACAATGCCAGCCACTCCCACACCTGTCCACGTGGTCCTCGGTCGACCTCCCATACCGTACCATTAAACACCAAACTCCTTGGCAGACGTGCTTTGTCCCCAGCAATGCCCTTCCTCGTGCCCCGTCAGCACAGCTCAGAAAAGGCCAGCACTGTTTGAAAAACTTGACTGCAGACTTGGGAACAGGATGAGATCTCTATCTCTCTCTCTCTCTTTCTCACACACACACACAGAGACACACACAGACACACACCTGGCAACCTGGACATGCCCCAGGGCTCCCTGTGTGTGGGGACCCCAACCAGCCCAACTTACTAGTACCCTCTGAGCTCCAGACTCATGGCCCACCTGTGGCCTGGCACCTCCCTCAGATGTTAAAAAGGTCTCAAAAATTCAGTGATCCAAAACAAACTCTTGATTTACACTCTGACCCACAAAATTGCTCTCCCGCCCTCCCCTACCGTCTTTCTTCTCGGCCAAGACCAACCAGCCAAAGTCCTGCAGGCGATGTGACCCTTTGTCTCTCAATCAAGTCAGTGATTCACCACGTGCCCTACCTTCCAATCATCCGCAAAGTAGGACCTCCTGGCCAGCACCGCACCCCACCTCTTGGAGGGCTGTGACGGCCTCACAGGTCTCCTAATGCCTCTCTTGTTCTCACCTGGCAGCTAAAACTGCATTCCAGCTCAACACCCTCCCATGAGCACCATCACATTCAGAGTCAAGGCCCTGATCCAGCATCTGCCTAGGGAGCTTCAGGGTGGTCCTCCCTCAGCTGCTTCCCCAGTCCTCTCTCCGCCCTTGGCTCCCTCTGCTCCAGCCACACTGGCCTCCTTTCAGCTCTTCTAATGTTCCTACCTCAGAACCTTTGCACATACAGTTCCTTTGCCTGGGCTGCTGGCTTCTTTCCCTACCTCCTGTGAGAGGCCTCCCCAGCTCGCCCCCCCCCCTCCTGCTTTACTGCCTTTTATAGCACTTATCTCCATCTCACCATCTCATCTCAAAAAACCAAAGTGCCTAGGCGCCAGGATAGGACCATAAATTTCGTCATGGCTCCACTTTGTCTCCCGGGCTCAGCAGGGAGCAGAAGTCCAGTAACCATGAGTGAAGAAAGGTATTCTAAGAGTGAGATTCTCTATTTAATGTCAAGGTCAGGGTGGCAGGCCCTCTAAAGCCCAGGCAGGGCCACCAGATAAAACACAGGACATCCAGTGCTATGAGACTTAGAGTGATGCGCTGTTTATCTAAAATCCACGTAATTGGCTGAAGCCGGTTTGGCTCAGTGGTGGAGCGTCGGTCTGTGGACTGAAAGGTCCCAAGTTCAATTCCAGTCAAAGGCATGTACCTTGGTTGCGGGCACATCCTTGGTAGGGGGTGTGCAGGAGGCAGCTGGTTGATGTTTCTCTCTCATCGACATTTCTAGCTCTCTATCTCTCTCTCTTCCACTCTGTAAAAAATCAATAAAATATATTTAAAATAAATAAATAAATAAAATAAAATCCACATATGGCTCAGTAGTTGAGAAATCTATTGTGGATGAGAAAAAGGCCACATGCTAGCCTGACTAGCTCAGGGAAGGCCTGCATAGCAGTTCTGCAAACTCAAACACCTAAAGTAACCACAAAGGATTTTCTGAAATTAAAACTTTAACTAGAAGCAGTTTATAGGGGGTAGTATCTTCCCTGACAAGATCAATCTTGACGTTAACTGAGCCTATTGCGTGTGTGTTTTTGTTTGTTTGTTTTTTGTGGGTTTTTTTGGTGTTTTTCTTTTCATCTAAGATAACATGCCTGTGAAATGTCAGGGTAACTTGTAACTTTCCTTTTTCCGGACCCCTCAGGGCAAAACCAAAGTGCCTGGGCGCCAGGATAGGACCATAAATTTTGTCATTGTTATTGTTAATTGTTGTTGTTTTTGTAAAATATTTTTTATCAATTTTTTACAGAGGGAAAGGGAGAGGGATCGAGAGTTAGAAACATCGATGAGAGAGAATCATCAATCAGCTGCCTCTTGCACACCCCCTACTAGAGATGTGCCCACAACTAGTGTACATGCCCTTGACCGGAATTGAACCTGGGACCTTTCAGTCCACAGACTGACGCTCTATCCACTGAGCCAAACCGGTTTTGGCGTTACCAGGTTACTTGTTGAGTGTAAACTAACCTGCACCCACCAGGATAAAAGAAGCCTGTGCCTATCCTTTCACTCTTTATCCAGTCCCAGAGTTTTCCCCCACTTTGCTTTCTCCAACTTCCCGATCTATCACCAATGGATTTCATGTAACCCACTTCCTTTGATTGTAATGCATAAAACAGGGTGAAAAACTGCCATTCTCCGGAGCATTATCCCAATACGTTGAGATTCTGCTGTCTTGGAATTGTCAGCAGTTTGGCTCAAATAAACTCATAAAAACTCTTTACAGGTTTGAACGATTTTAAGTTAACACTATAAACCAGGAGTCACAGTTCTACCCTCCATCAAGGCACATGCCAAGTGTGCAGGCTCCCTCCCCAGCAGGGGGCGTGCAGGAGGCAGCCGATCATTGATGTTTCTATCTCGCTGTCTGAAATCAATAAAAAAATATATATTTTTAAAAAGTATACTTTTAAAAATAAATATTTTTAAAATTTTTCACAAAGCTGGGAGTCCTAGATTTTCGTTTGCTAAATCTCGCGAATCTCTGTCTCCGCGGAGGAGGCCGGGGCGGCGGGGGCGTGGCCTTGAGAGGCGGGCGTGGCCTTGAGGGGCGCCTGGGAGGCGGGGCTCCAGGCGGCGCCTGGTGCTCGGAGGCGGGACCTTGCTCACGTGACGGCGGTTGCCAGGGTGAAAGGTCAGGCGCGCCGAGCCACTTCAAACATGGCGGCGGCCGGGGCGGCGGCCGGGGCGCGCAGCCCGGGGGCCCCGAAGGGGACGGCGGCCCGAGCCCGGCGCCCGCCCTCGGCGCGGCTGCCCCCGCTGCTGGTCCTGCTGGCGGCGGCGGCGGCGGGCCCGGGCCCGGGCGGCGCGGCGCTGTACCGCGCGGGCGAGGACGCCGTGTGGGTGCTGGACAGCGGCAGCGTGCGCGCCGCCACGGCCAACAGCTCGGCCGCGTGGCTGGTGCAGTTCTACTCGTCGTGGTGCGGCCACTGCATCGGCTACGCGCCCACCTGGCGGGCTCTGGCCGGTGACGTGCGAGGTGAGGCGCCCGGGCGGCCGGCCCTGCGGCGGGGACTCGCCCCGGCTCGCGGGGGCCGCCACGCCCTTCCCCGCGGGCCTGCGCGGTCCCCGGGCTCGAGGACCCTCCTGCGAGGAAGACGGGACCTTCCCCGCCTCACCCCGCAGGTGGGGGCCGGCGGCCTCCGTGTCTCCCGGCTCCCCGCGCTGGCCTGGGGTCCCAGCGCTTCCTCGACCCCCCCGGCCTTGGTCCCCGGGTGTCCTGCCTCGGACCCACCCCCTCAGGCGTCGTCACGGCCGAGGGTCCCGATCTGGGAGGGGCCGCACGCAGGTCGGCCCGCAGCCGCTTTCCCTTTAAATGCTGCTTCCTCCTCCCGGTTTGGGGGCCGCCCACATGGACGCTCAGAGTGAGCCCCCACCTGGGGCACCCCAACACGGTGGTGTAGACGCAGGAGAAGTCCTTCCCAGCCTTACACCGGGAAGCTCCTGTCCAGACCCGCGGCCTCGGGCACCTGCCGTCCGGGGCCCCGCCCCGTCCGGAGGCTGTGGTTGCAGGTTCCGCTCTGATCTTGATGCCCCGAGTTCCTCATCTCCTCGATGGCGCGTGGGGTGGCCGGCGGGGTGCAGCCTCGGTCCCGCAGCCGAGCTGGTCCCGCGTTGAGAGGAGTACAAAGTGCTCCGAGGCGGGGCCGGCCCCGCAGGCGCCGCGCTCACCTGCCACCACGTTCCAAGACGGGACACATGGCCGTGGCCCCTTCGTGCCCTCGCTGTGTGACGTTCTCAGGTCTAAGCCGATTCACAGAGAAACTTGAAAGAAGCCTCAATAGGGTCTTTGTGGGTAATGTGAACGGTTGTCTTTCAGGTGCTTTCTCCTCTTAACGCAGGGTGTTGGGACCTTTGGATTCTAAAGGGTTTGTTCTCTGATCTAATGTTTTAACTCCATCGTGTTCTGCACTGGTCACAGCTGAGGCAGAGCGTTCCTTAACAGGGCGGATTGAGAACAACAAGCATGTCAATAATGTGGAGAGTTTTTAATTAAATTCTCACTTGTTATTTGGTTACAGAGACAGATATATCAATTAAAATGCAGATAGCTCTGGTAAGACATTTATCGCCTATTTTTTGCATGTTTTTATTTTTGTTCAGTTTAGTTTCTGGAATACCAAAGTCGTAAACTATGATTAAAATATTGCAAACTACTCCTTCGTTGAACCAACAGGTAAGGAGCCTTAAAAATTGTCCCTGGAACTTGGCGGGTTACTTCTGAAAGTGAAACAACACCTACATCCCGAGTGGCGTGGTTAACTTAACCATTAGCCAAATAAGGCTATCTGAAAAGGGCTGGGCCCTGTCCAAGTCCCGGCTGGAAAAACGGGCCTGAGTCGGGGGGGCAGAGACAGCTAACAGTTAAAGACCACTGTGACCCACAGGCCGCGGGAGGCAGTCAGGGCGAGAAGAGAGGGTCTGTGGGGACCTAGGCAGAGGGTCCCAAGAGCCAAGCTGCCAGCTCTGACAGGGTCCCCTGGGACTTGATAGGGGTGCACGGTGTCAGCCCAGCCGAGGCCCGTGGGTCAGACGCTCAGCGTGAGGCCCAGCGTCTGTGAGCACAAGCCGGAGTCAGGGTCACGTTCCCAGGGACGTGAGGCAAGTAAGGGCCCATGGCCAAGGAGACCAGAGCGTGGCGGTGGCTCCCCTCGTGGCGGTGGCTCCCACCCTCCAGCTTCTCAGCTGAGGAGTCATTAACTCTGACCCTGTGCCCACTGTGACTGACCACCGCAGGCCCCTCTGTGCCTCATTTCAGCATTGGGGATGTGTTGGGAAGGAGGGCCTTCACCCTCTGCTCCCGCGCTGTGCTCCCCTCGCCCCTCCGTCCAGCCTGTTGACATAGGAAGTTCCTCGCAGTAACTGTGGAGATCTGATTGGCTTTATGACCTGCCGCATGGACCCGGAGCACCCCGTTGGGGAACCGGAAGGTCTCCGGGGGGGGGTATGCCGAATGAAGGCTTCATAGGCAGAAGTTAAAGGTCATTTCAGGCAAGGACACCTTCCCCAGGGGAATGGGGACCTGTCGGGCAGATGGTGACCCCCTGGTTGGATCAGGAGGGGCAGACGATTACAGCTGCACCCTGCGAGGCTGCACTGCGCTGCAGAAAAAAATAAGGTTACAACAAAGGTCAGCAGTTGGGAGTAACCAGTATCACTGGGCTGTTGTGTAGATTTGGCTCAGGCTGTCCAAGTCCCGCTGTTCCTGAAAACACTTCGCCTGGAGCTGTGGTTTAGCTCTACTTGTCTGCTTCTCCCTGAAGAGGGAGACACCTATGCCTGGGGCAGGCCACACCCAGGAGCCTCTGAAATGTCTGTGGAGACTGGGCACTGTGTCCTTGGTATCTGTTCTCGCTTCAGGGAAGGCGGGCAGGTTTCCCATAACTGGCTTTGGAATTGTGGAGGAGAGACTGGAGGGGGCTGGACCTGGCGCCGTAGCCACTGCACACACCTTGTCTTCCCTGTCCCATCATGAGACTGAGTCACCCACTAGTGGTCACACAGCTGGGTGACAGGCTACACCGCTCCTGAACTGACTGGCTCACTCCCTGGGTCTGCAGAGAATGGAGGCGGAGCCCCCTCTGAGCTCTCCATCACCTGGACTTGGCTTCTGTGTGGCGAGGCTGCAGCCTTCTCAGTGATGAGCTGGGGCACCAGTGTCTGTTCACCGGAAGAAGGAAGGAATGGGCCTGGGAGGATGGGGTGCTGGTGGCAGTGGGAATCACCTGCAGGGATGGTGGGTGGAGAGCCCAGGAGGTCTGTGGATGGTCTCAGAGGCTGCAGGGGAGGCCAGAGACAGGCAGTGGGGGCCTCTTCCGTTGTGGGCCCAGGTGCCCCTGTGAGACGCAGCCTCATCACACCTGCACCAGGAGGAAGCCAGGTCATAAACGCTGCTTCCCATCTCACATGTTGTAATGCTTGAGGCCTGGAGGACCCCATACAGCCTGAGCTGAACCCCGCTGGGCCCTGGGCTCAGTGAGGCTCAGAGACATGCCTGCACTCTGCACACAGGACTGCGCTGCGCCGTGGTGTGGGGCTGAATTTCCACCTGTCCGTGTGTGGCTTGAACTTGGAGTTTATCCAAAAAGACCTTTGCTCAGCCAGGAAGGGCCCTGCACCAGGTGGGAGAATTGCCTTCCCATGGCTGGACCGTGGTGTTAGGGACCCCTACGCCACCTTGACTGCACGAGGGTGGAGAAGCCAGAACTGGGCGCTGTGCCTTGGAAACAAATCCTTAAATCTCAGAGCTCCCACGCTGTCCTGCCGTCATCCAGACCCACTGATGCACGGCCAGAATAGACTTCCACAGACCTTTCCTTAGGATTTGACAAGTAATAGTAAAAGGTTTAATTCTGGTAGGGTAAGCTGTATGGTTATTGGACACTAAACGTGAAATAAGTTTTAGTAGTCTGCTGTATCTGGAGACGCAACTGTTTCATATGCGTTTTTTTAAGCCCGTGTCCTAAAAAAAAAGGCTGTGGCCACTGCTGGTGGCTCCCCTGGTGGCAGCCTTGGAGCCTCCGCCGGCACGCATGTCGCTGGGGAAGCTGAAACCAAACGCTGTGCTTTCGGGGCACAGTGGTGTCTTCGTTGTGTGGGGGACCCAGACAGGCAGGTGGGCAGGAGGAGGGGAGGAGCCCAGCTGAATGGGGCAGAGACACTGAAGCAGCCCTTTGAAATGGCTTGCATTTTATTTGGGAACAGAAAGTGTCTCTTTTGTCTTCCCTGAATGTGCCCATCTGCCCAGAGACCTGCAGGGACAGTAACTGAAATCCTCCCTGTCTGTGTTGGGTGGCCTCCCACAGACGGCCTTCTTTCAAAGACAGACAAAGGCCTGTGAGGGTCGGCGTGCCCCTCCACCGGACGGCAGCCGGCTCCAGGGGACGTGTGTATGTGGAGTGGCAGTTACAGGCGGACTTGTGGATTCTCAGGAGTCCTAGAAGCCAGCCCCCCACCGTCCTGTCCCTGCTGGTGTGCTCCAGCAAGCTCCTGCGAGATGGATGTCTGCTCTGCAGGCATTCACGACCGTGTCCCGAGTGCTCCCTGCACTCAGGTCTTTGCTTTCAGACACACCTGAAGCGGGTGTGGGATGGGCTCTGTATGGAACCCATGTTTCCCCAGGATTGTGCGTGTCAGGTGTGCAAACAGAGAGCCAAAGAGGCAGAGTAAGCACTTGGTTACATTCCTGTGGAAAATGAGGTTTTCTTTTTTTTTTTTTAATATTTTATTGACTTTTTTACAGAGAGGAAGAGAGAGGGATAGAGAGCTAGAAACGTCGATGAGAGAGAAACATCGACCAGCTGCCTCTTGCACACCCCCTACCAGGGATGTGCCCGCAACCAAGGTACATGCCCTTGACCAGAATCGAACCTGGGACCTTTCAGTCTGCAGACCGACGCTCTACCACTGAGCCAAACCGGTTTCGGCGAGGTTTTCATTTTTATGCCTCCAGCCCAATGCCTGCATCAGAGGGGGGTCTGCCTCCTGCACACTGGAAGGCCCAGCAGCTGGAGGCTGGAAACCAGACTGGTGCCTATGGTCTGCGTTGCCCCCACCTTCCCTGCAGAGGGGCCTCTGCTGCCCCCACCATGGGAAGGTAGCTCAGTCCCCACTTCTGGGAGCAGGATGGGCGCAGGGTGCAGAGGCAGAGGATCAGGAGCCTCTGGGTTGCATTTTGGGAGGGATGCCTGGGACAGCCAATGGAGATGGCAAGTAGGTGGGGCGCAGGGGGAGAGGGTAGGAGTTGCTATGCAAGGGTCAGCCACCCTCCAGAGCCCTGGCTCCCGAGACAGTCAGGAGCTGTGCATCGCCGAGTGCTTGCTGCCGGGGGATCGTGTGACCACTCGCCATGATGACGCAGTTGGCAGATGGGAGTGCAGGGCCCTGTCCTTTAGAAGTGCAGCTGCTGGGTACGGAGCTGGAAGTGGGGGGCCTTTGGATAGACAAGGTTCCAGCAGCTGATCATCGTTGGCACTGACAAAGGGACACGCGTGGCTGCATTGTTATCTCTATTTCATTCGGGTTTTTGGAGTTTTCCTTAATAAAAACGTCAGCCTGGCCGGGTTGCACAGTGGTCTGGAGCGTCGTCCTGTACGGCAGAGGTGGCCAGGTCAGTCCTCGTCAGCACAACAGGAGGCAGTCAGTCCATGCTTCTCTCGCATGAAGGTCTCGCCTCTGCTTTTCAGACTGGGCCGCCGCCATCCGCGTCGCTGCCCTGGACTGTGCGGAGAAAAGCAACCACGAGGTGTGCCAGGCCTACGACATCCACTTCTACCCCAGCTTCCGGGTGAGCACCCCCCTGCCTCGCGGCTCCGCTGGACCTTCTCTCTGAGCTGGGTTCACCATAGGCAGTCCCCCCCAGTCCGTCTCCAGCATGTGAGGCGCTTCTTTAGAAGTGGTGGGAGTGTCTGCTTGCAGAGGGTCCCTTTTGGTCCTCTTAGGGTCGGCGCTGTCTGTGGCTCTGCCCTGTTGGGTCAGAGCGTGTAAGTAAAGTTGCAGATGGGTGCGAGTCACCTGTACACGTGGCAGGAGGCCTCAGATCCACAGACACAGCCTCGGGCTCCTCCTCTGGGGCCTCGGGGCTTTGAGCAGACTTTCTGGGGGGAGGTGACTTTGGGGTACCTGATGCTTGTTGGTTGGCTAAAGATCATACATTGACAAGACACCAGCTAAGGCTATTACTCACTTGTCCTCTATTTTTCCTTTTAGTATTTTAGAGCATTCACAAAGGACTTTACAACTGGCGAAAACTTTAAAGGTGAGGACATAAGCACTGTGTCTTTACTGTAGGTTTGCCTCAGGCACCCATCACAAGAAATGGTTCAGGAACCTGTCCTAGCCCCGGCTAAGCCTCCTGACCACCCCTGTAAGCATTCGGGCAGGCAAAGTCTCAGCAGGAGGTGTTGTTTGTTTGGCTTTTTTAAATTTTTTTTTATTTTTATATGTTATTGATTTTACACAGAGAGGAATTGAGAGGGACAGAGAGTTAGAAACGTCGATGAGAGAGAAACATCAACCAGCTGCCTTTTGCACACCCCCCACTGGGGATGTGCCCGCAACCAAGATACATGCCCTTGACCGGAATTGAACCCAGGACCCTTCAGTCCGCAGGCCGACGCTCTATCCACTGAGCCAAACCGGTCTTGGCTGTTTGGCTTTTGTTACTCCTCCTCCAGGAGATTTTCAGAGAGAGTGGAAGGGAGGGAAGGAAAGAGAGACAGAGACATGGATGTGAGAGAGCCACATCGATTGGTTGCCTCCTGCACACGCCCCAATCAGGGCTGGGGATCAAACCTGCAACCAAGGTACATGCCTTTGACTAGGAAGCGAGCCTGACCCTTCAATCCATAGACTGACACTGACCATTAAGCAACACCAGCCAGGGTTCAGCAGGAAGTTTTTATTTTGTGCTATGCCTTCTTTGGCAAACACAGCAGTGACAAAGTCTTTTGTTTGTTATACACACACACACACACACACACACACACACAATGAGTGGCCAGATTATTATGATCTCTAAACGCATAATAATCTGGCTACTCGGTGTCTATCCTATATAATAAAAGGCTATTATGCAAATTGTCTCCTCAACAAGGAGTTCGACCAGCAGGCAGGCAGGCCAACCGCCCATGTCCCTTCCCCCTGGCCAGGCTGGCTGGACCCTACCTATGCATGAATTCATGCACAGGGCCTCTATATACACACACTAAGTGGCCAGATTATTATGCGTTCAGAGATCATAATAATCTGGCCACTCAGTGTGTGTGAGTGTGTGTGTGTGTGTGTGTGTGTGTGTGTGTATCTTTTTAATGATTTCAGAGAGGAAGGGAGAGGTAGAGAGAGATAGAAACATTAGTGATAAAAGATAATCATTGGTCAGCTGCCTCCTATATGACCCACACTGAGGATCGAGCCCGCAACCCAGGCATGTGCCCTTTGATAAGAATCGAACCCAGGACCCTTCCGTCCGCAGGCCAACGCTAGATCCAAACTGGCTAGGCGTGACAAAGTTTTTATTTTATTTTTTCAAAGTAAACTTTATAATTGAAAAAAATATTGGAGCAGTGCACATCTGGTGGTTTTTTTTATGAATGGGCCCACCAGGTAACAGGCACCCAGATCAGGCCCCAGAGGGTGACCAGTCAGCCCACGGTGACTGCGTTCTAATCAGAGGACGTCCTGCCTGGTGTAAACCAGGTGTGGGCGGAGTTGGCGTGCCCGGCTTATGCCTGCACACCTGTGTCACCTCACCATGCAGCCTCCTGTCCTGGGACTCGCTGCTGTCCGTGCCAAGCTCTCGGTGACGAGGCACCCCGCTGGGGACCTGGGTTTGGGGGGCAAGTGGGGAGTCCCCGAGGTGATGGTGGTTGCTTCCCCAGGGCCTGACCGAGAGCTGCAGATGGTGAGACAAGCCATGATCGACTTCCTGCAGAACCACACGGACGCAAATAGGCCTCCCGCCTGCCCGGCTTTGGACCCTATTCGGTGCGTGGTTCCGTAAGAGAAAATGGCATGTTAGGTGTTGAATTAATTCGACAAAACTCAGATGCGCACTAAATGGGATGGGCACTCTACCTGGTGGCCAGCTCACTGTTCCCAAAAGCACTAAAAGCCTTTTTTTCCTCTTAAAAGGCCCAGTGACGTTCTTTCTCTCATTGACAACCATGAGGGCTACTATGTGGCTATTCTGTTTGAGAGCAACAGCTCGTATGTTGGACGTGAGGTACCATGTCTTTATCCTGTCAGGTCCTGGTGTGATGGGTTCAGCACGGGGCCTGGGCCTAGATTCCGGGGGTGAGAATTGGCTGGTTTTTGGAGAAGACAATGGGGGAGTGTCTCTGAGGGCAGGAGAAGAGGGCACAGGCTGGCCTTGTCCCCGAGTGGGCATGGGATTCAGGGGGCGGGGACGGAGCTAGTGGTGCTGCTGTGCTCCTGTCTCTGTTTGGTTGTTGTATTCTGGGCTCCCAACTTTTAGCCAGATGGCTGCCGGGTGGAGGCAGCAGCTCCCCAGCTCTGCTCAGAGTCGAATCCTCCCCCCTGTCCCCACCTGGGCCCAAGGCAGAGGCCAGGGCCCTGTTGCTGTCGAGGATGCTGGGGCTGGCCCCGGGGGCAGGGGCACTTGATGGTCAGTTTCGTGGAGGACATGCTGGCTGGGACAGGATCGCACAGGGCCACTGGCAGGTCCCCTCGGACTGTCTGTGGTTTCTGCCAGGGTGTCTGTCACGCTCAGTTGCCTTAGATGTGACCGTCTGGTTGTGGAGAAGACAGGTGCAGAGTGTTCCCGGTAACGCTGCTCTGGTTCCGTAAGCAGGACTCCCTCTGCATCGCTCCCTGCGGACCCGCCTGGGCCCAGGATGACCTTCCCTCCTCATGCAGGTGATCCTGGACCTGAGTCCTTATGAGAACATCGCAGTGAAGAGAGCCCTGGACAGCGACCCGGCCTTTCTGGAGAAGCTTGGCATCTCTTCCGTTCCTTCCTGTTACCTGATTTACCCAAATGGGTCCCACGGGTTAATTAACATGTAAGAGTAGTTTGGCTGAAGAACTGCTTGAAGGTGGCATCCCAGAACCACCTGGGTGGGAGCTCATGCCAAGCCAGATGTGGTCTGGTCCGCATCTGTGTCTGGCGGTGGGGGGAGGAAGGGGGAAGAGTCATGGGGGGCACCCACCCTCCCCAGTGAGCAGTGGGCACGGGTGGGCTCTGGACTCCATCCCCTCAGTCCACTCTCCTTCCTGAGACGCACAGAAGCCATGAGAGCACAGATGACCTCTGCACTGGGCTCCTGAGATAAACCAGAATTGGAAAAGATTGTGGGAGGGTTAGGTCGCCTCTGAAACCTGGGCTGCCTGCCTGGTCCCCACCTCTCCGCCCCCCTGCGTGGTTCTCACGCACCCGCTGGCCTGGGGACCTCGGGCTTTTGTGGAGCTGGGCGTCTGTACCACCTGCGGCCGAGCTCCTTAGGACTGAGCACCGGGCCTGCAGCAGAGGCTGGGCCCGGCTCAGCCACTGCCCTCTCCCGGCTCCCTGAGCACTGCCGTTCGCCTCAAAGACCAAGGATCATTTACGTTGGAGTGTCATCTGTAGGATGTAACTTAGAGTGTGGTTGATACTGTGCCCTGCGTACTTTGCATGACCTTGAGCTACTAAAAGGTCTCAGTCGGCCTTCACACACCCTGTAGCTTGAGGGGCCCGTGTGCAGCAGGATCGGGAGGACCGAGGCCGAGACCACCACACGTCATAGAGCTGGTGCAGGGATGCTCAGCCGCTCCACGGCCCACGGTGTCCCTAAGCAGCTGGGCTCAGGGTAGTGTGGGTTTGTCTCATGTCCTGGGGAGAGGGGCATGGGGTCAGCTCCGAGGCCACACCCAGGGCACCTGCAGTGAAAGGTAGGAGAGGGGAGTACAGCTTCCCTCCCTCATGAAGGGGCCTGGGCAGCTCAGGGCCAGATTTGGGCTCCAGCTCAGCCCACACCCACCCACCCCTTTCTCGCAGCGCGAAGCCTCTCCGGTCATTTTTTTCCTCTTATTTGAAGTCGTTGCCAGATGTGAGGAAAAAGTCGCTTGCGTTTCCTGAAAAGCCAAGCAAAGAAGAAAACTCTGAAGTCATGGTGTGGAGGGAGTTTGACAGGCAAGTGCTCCCTTTGGACAGGAGGGGCGGGGGGTGAGCACCAGGAAGCCGGGTGACAGGAAGCTGCGGGCTCAGCTCGCTGGCGGCTCGGGCCCCCCTGGGTGGTGGTGGGCTCACTGGAGAGAAGGCATTCACACCTGACTCTGTGATATCTCAGGTCAAAACTGTACACGGCGGACCTGGAGTCAGGGCTGCACTACCTCCTGAGGGTGGAGCTGGCCGCCCACAGGACACTGGCCGGAGCCGAGCTGAAAACACTGAAGGACTTTGTTACTATCGTTGCCAAGGTGTGTGAGGTCTGCTCTGGGCTGGGGGCTCAGTCCGTGGACGTGCGGTTTGCTGACCAGCGGTGTCCAACCCGCTTTCGGTACTGGGAGCATGGCTCATGCAGATGCCAGGCCTGAGGGGGCACTAAGCAGGGGGTCTGGGGGAGGGGTGGCATGGGCAGGAGGGCAGTCTCCAGGGGTACTTACCCAGGTGGGTGGTGAGTATGGTGGGAGCTGTGGGACTGACTCGGTGTGTGGCTGGGCCAGCAGCCCCATGACATGGGGGATGGGGACAACAGGAGTAGGCAGACAGCATCTCAGCAGCGTACAGCGTGGCCGCTACCCTCGTCCTCTGGGGTCTGCTGCGGGGTGGGGGGTGCCCAGGACCAGTGCTGGGGTGCCTCTCTCCACCTTTATTAGGAGGTCGGGTGGTGTTCATGGAAGTTTAGTTCCTGCCTTGGCGGACTGTTGTTTTCTGGCCCAGATGATTCTGGGAGGAGGGAGGCGGGAGGCCCCCCGCAGCTTCCTGGAGCAGGTCTGAGCCCTGGTTCTCTTGCCCCCGCAGCCCTGTCTGGGTCTGGCTGTAGCTCCTCTGCTCTCAGACTCCTGGGGTGGCCTAGCCGGGGTCCTAAGGCCCAGCAGAGACCTAGGGCCCCATTCGCAGCACTGCAACACGATGCTTGTTTTGTCTTAAGAAATACGGAGGCTGGACTTAAGAGATTTTTTTGCCTCATGTAAGGTCCCTAAACAGATTCGCATTCCACACTTTGGATGGTCAGAGATTGCTCACTGAGTTTTGAGAAAATGGGGGAGATAGAACTTACGTTTAAAAGAATAACCGGGAGGTGCCTAGTGTGTTTCCCACGAGTAAAGGAAAGCTGCTGCACGCACGGGCTTTGATCCTTTGTGGGTTCAGAATTCTGGAATCTCCGGGATGTCCTCCTGCTCATGGGTCAGCTGCTCAGCGGTCGGCTCCTCGGCCTCTGCTGTCGGCACCAGCTCAGCGAGCAGCGGGCCCAGCCCCGGGGCCAGGATGGCCACATCCTTAGCCGCCTTCCTCAGACTTGGGCTGGAGATTCCTGCTCGTAGTTGGTAGTGGTCCTGGGCGGCTTGTCAGGAGAGCGTTTCCGGAGCTGACAGTGCGTGATCACTGCTGTTCTTCAGCATGGATGTCATCTCGTAAAACGTAGCTCAGGTGTGAGGGGCCCTCTCGGCAGTGCCGCTCTGCCTGTCTCCTGGCACTGTGCTCGGGTGTGGGGTCGCCGGGTGAGGGGCTGCCTGCCTTTCCAGGGGCCTAAGTGTGGTGCTTCCCCCTCAGCTGTTCCCCGGTCGCCCGCCCATCAGGAAGCTACTGGAGATGCTGCAGGAGTGGCTGGCCAGCCTCCCTCTGGACCGGGTCCCCTACAACGCCGTCCTGGACCTGGTCAACAACAAGATGCGGGTACACACCTCCCGCTCCTGCCCACCTCCTCAGGCCCCTCTGGGTGGTCTCTGTCCCGTCCCCATGGCACCTGCATGTCTACTCCTCTGCCCTGGTGCTGTCCGCTCCCTGCCGAGTCCTCGGGGCACGGACGTTGGTGATAGCCACTGCGCAGGCAAGGGTGGTTTCTCAGAGGTGGCACTGGGGCTTGCAGAAAATTTTGAGTTTGCACCTAAACCAATGTGTTTAGTAAGAGTGTGGCTGAGCTGCCCTTCAGCCTGGTGCCCATAGTGAGGGTCGCTGAGAGCCTCATCCTCCCAGGACCAGCTGTGCCAGGTTGTGGTGTGCACGGGCCTGGTGTGAGCATGTCGGATACATGTCCCGGTGTGTGACTACCCTGTCAGAGGACACGCACCAACTATTTGTATTTCTACTTCTCAGAGTTCAATTATCTGTTATTCTTTCTTTTCTCAGATTTCTGGAATATTCCTCACTAATCAGATTAAGTGGGTTGGATGTCAAGGAAGCCGCCCGGAGTTGAGGGGTTACACGTGTTCTCTCTGGAAGTTGTTCCACACTCTGACTGTTCAGGCCGGGACCCACCCTGACGCACTGGATGACACAGGTAACGTCCCTGCACAGCCATGGCGCTGTCTGCCCCTGGCATACACGGGATGCCGGCCAGGGCCATCGGAAGCTCAGCAGTGGGGGATTCACTGTAAGACCGTGTGTTGTCGGGGCTCTGGGGTCCCCTGCTAAGCAGGCGGAGGGAGCGTCTTTTCAGGTCGCAGACCCCATGCACCCGATGCCGAATTCTCCCTCCCTGGGCCCAGCACCTGCAGGGGCCCTGCAGCCACCCAGTCCCAGCCCGGGGAGGGCCTGTGTGGGAATCTCTGCTTGTGCTTTAAACGTATGAGACTCAGTGGAAAGGGGTGTGCTTCACCTCTCGATGCATAACAAGTTACCCTAAACCTAGCAGCTTGAAACAGTGCACTCTTGTCTCACAGTGACTGGGTCAGGAATCTGATGTGGCCAAGCCGGGTCCTCTGCAGGGCAGTGTGTCCGCCTGAGGGCCAGGGTCTCACCTGAAGGTCCGACTGGGAGAGGACCCCGTCCTCACGTGGTGGAGGTAGCCGTGTCCCTGCTAGCTGTTCCTCCCCGAGTCCTCCCCCCAGCAGCTCTCACAGCACTGGCTCCGTCAGAGTGAGTCCCTCGCTGTGTGTGTTCTTGTCGTTAGAAGTCAGCCATGGCCCCACCTGCTCACAGGAGCTGGCGACCCAGGGCCATCTCAGGGGCCACCTGCCACAAGGCAAAACTACCAAAGTTTGAGTGGGTTTACTAACTTCAGTCACCAGGAAGTAGCTAACGCAGCATCGTCATGTTCTGCATGCTCTGTAGACACTGCGAAATGTGCTGGATACTTTACCCTTTGGACTTGGTTGTGCGGACACTGCCTGGCCCCAGCAGGCTGCTGGCCACACGGGACAACTGCTGTCTTAGTTGTCATTTCCCTTTTTTTAAATATGGTTTTTATTTCAGAGAGGTGGGGCGAGAGAGATAGAAACATCAATGAGAGAGAACATCAATCGACTGCCTTCTGCACGCCCCCTACTGGGGAGCAAGCCTGCAACCGGGCATGTGCCCTGACCAGGAAGAGCGCTGTGACTCCAGGTTCATAGATGGATGCTCAACCAAGGAGCCACGCCAGCTGGGCTCGGTTGTCAATTTCTTAGTTGGTGAGGTCCACTGATGCTCATGTTACATCCTGACTCACACAGTCCAGTATTCTTCCCAGTAAAAGTGTAAACTAACTAACCCAGATGTGGTGGCTCTTGTGTGGGACCAGGGGGTGCTCGTGGGTCTGGACTCAGAAGGTCGAAGCCCTGCAGCCAGCCGCTCCTCACCACCCAGGAAGGCGCGCTCGGCCTTGGCGGGCACCGGCATCACTTCCCCACACCCTGTCAGGCAGATAGGGCTCACCCACCAGGTGCAGAGGGCAGGGCCACCCTCGGGCGTTCGTACAGCCACGCTCTCCTCCAGGCAGCACTGAGTTCTGGGGTCTCGTGGGGCAGAGGTGGGCTGTGAGTCCGGAGATTCTGTGAAGAGTCAGCAGCACAGGAGCAGCATGGCTTTCGGGAAATGAGGAGCTCCCGGGTCCAGCCCTGGCAGCAGAGCTGCTGAAGGCCACCTGGTAGCGGCCAGGCTGTGTCCCCAGGTGTCGAAGGGTGGCACACGGCAGAGCGCACGGGTCCCGCGGGGTCTCGCCTGGCGGTGGTGGCCATGCACATTGCGGCTCTGCTGGGAGCACGTCTCGTGCTGCAGAACTGGGTCAGGCGGAGACACCGGATTATGTCTTGGGAGGTTTCCCTCTCCTTATTGGACATTTAAGCCCATCGACTAAAAGCCTGCGTGGCCCCTAATCCCCTCAGGTAGAGCTTGTGGTTCTTGTGCACTTTAAAGATTAGGAGGTCGCAGTGAGCAGTGCTTGGCTGGGAGAGAAAAGGAGGATTACGGTGAAGCGGAGCAGATGTCGGCCCAGGACTGCCGGCTGCCGGCGAGGGGCTACGGGCAGAGGCCAGCCGAGCGCATCACATGGCAGTCTCCTGTGGGCACTGCCCGCTGCCCTGGACACAGCCTGGGGGAAGTCGGCTCAGCTCACACCTCTGAGTGGAATGGCCGCCAACATTAGTGACTGACCGACAGGAAAAAGGCCGCTGGGGCTTCAGGGCTAGTGGGCATGGCCATGAGGCAGAGCCAGGACAGCTTCAGCCAGAGACCGTGAGGGCCTGCTGTTGGTTCTGACTGATTCAGTCTCAAAAGTGTGCCTTTTGTTTTCCCCTTAGTTTGCTGCGTGTCTTTTATTGCTGACATTTAATGTTGTAACCTCAAGGTCTCCCTGTGTGCTTAACCTCCTCCTCGCTGTCTGACGGGCCCACTGGGTCCAGCCCAGGCTGCCCTGCCCTGTGGCTTTCTCAGGGCACGTTAGTGCCACGCTGACTCTGCCCCTCCCTTCCCCCTGGTCCTGTGGCTGCTTCCCAAAACGTCAGGGTGTGTTTACTCGGGCCCCATGCCAGGCTGTAACGGGGGGCAGGGGGCTGGGGGGGAAATGCTGGAGCGCTCCCACCAGAGGTTCAGCCTCTCCTCAGAGGGCAGGTCCTGGTGCCTGCCGTTCCCCAGACAGCCCTGGCCACTGCCCATCCGGCCCAGGCTGCCCGTGGGAAGGTCAGTGCGGAGCTGGCGGCACCCCCAGAGGCACGAGCTCCAGCCACTGCACTGGGCTTGTGTTGTGCAAGGACTCAGGAGCGACACAGCACTTAGTCAGGAGCGCCCGGCGCCAGCCTTGGGGCTGCTTGTGTGGTGGGAGGCAGAGCCCGTCAAGGGCATGTACCTTGGTTGCGGGCATATCCCCAGTAGGGGGTGTGCAAGAGGCAGCTGGTCGATGACTCTCTCTCATCGATGTTTCTAACTCTCTATCTCTCTCCCTTCCTCTCTGTATAAAATCAATAAAATATTTTAAATAAATAAATAAATAAATAAAATGTTTCCTACATACCGTTATATTGGCTGGGCCGCAAAAACATGCGTTGTGGGCTGCGAGTTTGACATGCTTGCTGTCTGTTTGGGAAGGTGCTGCTCCTTCCCGTTCAGCGCCAGGCTTGAGCCGGTTCCTGGTTCCCGGCACCACCCCAGCCCTGGTTTCTGTGGGAGCCGTCAGACACGTTCTGTGCTCTGTTCCCGCAGTGCCACGGTGCTTGCTCCCTGCAGGTTTTGAAGACGACCCCCAGGCGGTGCTGCAGACCATCCGGAGGTACCTACTCACCTTCTTCGGCTGTAAGGAGTGTGGGGAGCATTTTGAGGAAATGGCTAAAGAGTCCATGGATTCCGTGAAAACCCCAGACCAAGCTATCCTCTGGCTTTGGAAGAAACATAACCTCGTGAACAGCCGCCTGGCAGGTAAGCAGAAGCCGTGGTGGCCTGCCCATGCCCGTCGGCGGGTCCTGTAGGGGGCGGGGGAGCACTGATTGCGGAGATGGCCTGACCTCGGTGCCGCTCCGCCTCCCCGGGCTCACAGCCAGCGCCAGTCCCGCTCCGACATCGGTTTCAGGACTTTCCAGGGTGTCTGCCTTCCAGACTCTTCTCTCCCTCGAGCCTCGTGAGAGCTGACAGGCAACATGTACCCCCTGAGGAGCCCACGAGGCCCAGTAGATGGAGGGGGAGGCTTGGGTCATGATTAATTTTCAGGAAGGAATTTTAGTGTCATTAAAATCTGCTCTCAGATGATAAATCAAACTCCTCAAAATGGCTTTGTTTAAAACCTAAGTAGGGCGCATACATTTTCTCAGAGTTAAGTAATTCAAACTGCTCCTAAATCAGTGGCAGATTAAAATTAGGCTTAAACATAATTCCGCTCAGAAGTAAATCTTGATAGAGATGAACAGAAAAACCCCTAAACTGCTGGTTTTATTTAATCCACTGTCTTACAAAAACATACGACAACGCAAGCAATAAAGAAAATTGGTTGCTCTTTGCACCAGAGCTGCCTGCTGGCTCTGGTCACGTGGTGTGGCCCCGGCCCCTCCTGTTTGCCGGCCTTGCTCTCCTGTTGTTGCAGGTGGAGGCGCCTCCGTGGAGGCCCTGCGCAGGTGTCGGGCCTCCCCGTGCCTCTCCCTACCACCTGTGCTCCCAGCAACTCTGAGGTTGCACTGACAGCACTGAACTCCAGGAGCTGTGCCCCCTCCCCCGTCATCACCCTGCCACATAAATGGGCTTTCTACAGCCTATGGGAGTGTCTCCTAGCCCCGTAGTCCCCGGCCCACTTCTAGTAAAGCAGTGGGACACACAGGAGCAGGGCAGGAGAGTGGCAGTGTAGTCTGGCCATGGCGGCCGCCCAAGGGACATGGCCGCAGCTGTGCAGGAAAGGTGAGGAGAGGAGTGTAGGCGTCATCCAGTCCCCACGGAGGTCCCAGGGTATGGGTGGGCCAAGAAGGTGGGGGAGACAGGCACCTGACCGTGGCGGGAGGCCTGCGGCGTGGCAGCCGTGGGGGGTGGGCGAGTTGCGGGAAGGCCTCCCCAGCTGCCTCCCTCCCGCGCCCAGGCCACCTGAGCGAGGACCCCAGGTTCCCCAAGGTCGCGTGGCCCACTCCGGACCTCTGCCCCACCTGCCACGAGGAGCTGCGGGGCCTGGACAGCTGGGACGAAGACCAGGTGCTGCTGTTCCTGAAGCGGCACTACGGCAGCGACAACCTCGTGCACACGTACGCCGCGGCCCTGGGCGGCACGGGCGAGGCCGAAGAGCGGGAGGGAGGCCGAGCCAACCCAGAGAGGCCTGGAGGCCACGGGGCCCAGAGCCTGCGCCAGCCCGGGGCACTGCCCCCCACGCCTCGCCCCTCAGAGGGGTCCCGCCCGGGACCGGCTGGGCCCGAGGGCCGCAGGGAGGCGGAGGCGGAGGCGGAGGCGGCCGCGCCCTTTCTGGGGATGGGCTTCTCTAGCTTGGACATGAGCCTCTGCGTCCTGCTCTATGTGGCCTCCGCCACCTTCCTGATGGTGATGTTCTTCTTCTTCCGAGTGCGCTCCCGGCGCTGGAAGGTCCGGCACCGCCACCCGTCCGTGTAGAGGCGGGGGCCGCCCCCACTGCGGCTTGAATGTCTCTAATCAGGGATGACAGACGGGGCCTGCTTCCCGCTGATGGCAGCTGTGGTCCCAGAGCTGGGGCTGTGTGTGTGTTCCCGGCCTATGTGCGGTTCGTGGGCGCCTCTGACTGATCCATAGCAGAGCGACTTCTAGGTTTTCACTCTTCTAGGTCTGAAAACGGGAGTGGGGGCGGTCCAGGCCAAAAAGAATGTTTGCACCCACTTTCACCTCAAGTTTATTGGGCTCCACGGCTGTTGTGCACGGCCTCCTCTGGGGATTTGGAGAAAAACCCAGCCCTTCCTCACGGAGAGTAAGGGGTGACTAACTGCATCCAGGGATCCCCTGGCCCCGCACTGTGCCTCCCCCCCCACCATGGAGAGTGGACTTGGTGAGGGATGGGGCGGGGTGGTGCTCGTGTGACTCTGCAGGGGCAGTGCCTTGTCCTGTTGGTGGTTAACTGGTGATGAGAGAGCTCAGTGCGTGAGGGCCGCCCAGGTTGCCTGTCCCCCTGGCAGTTGGGAGACTCTGAGCCCGAGAGCAGAGCTTCCAACTGGGCCCCTGTCACCCAAGCCCCTGCCATCCAGCACCCGAAGCCCTCCTGAGCCACTGCCCCGAGCCGGAATGGGTGGTGCACGGGGTCTCGCTGGCACCTCTAAGGCCAAACTTCATTTGCCTGAAGCTGTTTTACACAGGTCCTGGCACAGGGCCTATCCCCTGGCTTTGATGGTTAATTGTTTACCATTCAATGATTTTAACACTTTATTTATAAAACCCAAAACATTCAGAGGTAAAGTGAATGCATAAACAAACTCCTGGGGGCATTTCCTTTGACACCCTTATGCAGGCGCACAGCAGTGTGCACCCCCATGTCCTTGCCCGTGTGTGTGTCCATGTGTGTGCTCCCATGTATATGTGCCCCCATGTGTGCGTGCTTGTCACGGGGATGGTGGCAAGTAGTTCTTCCCACTGTGCCTGTGGTGTCCTCACGCACCCTCATTGCAGCTGCTAAGCACGTGTGGACCACTAGCACCAGGTCCTGCCCCAGCCCAGCTCGGGGGAGCACAAAGGTGGTGCCTACAACGCTACCACCAGCCTGGTGCCCCCCTTCGGGCAGGCATGGCTGGGAACAGGGAGCCTGCCCTGGGCTGAGCCTCTCCCACCCCTGCCAGAGGTTTCACCCCTAGAAGCCCCTGGTTTAAACCTGAGGCTCGTGTGCCTGGTGACTGAAGGCACCATATTGTTTCCTTGCAACTTGAAAATGGGCTGGTTTAGAGAGTCCACGGGAAATGCTGGGCCTCTCATTAAACTGCCTTAGGCTCGTGTCAAATGTCATTTTCTCCCCCAAAGCAAGTTTCTGTGAGCAGTGAGCACTGTCCTACATCAACCTATTTGACAGGCAGTGTTGGCTTCTAAGGTTCATAGTAATATTGTGGTTTGAGGTCACGTCTGTTACATCAGGGGCAAGGTTCCAGCAGACCGCCAGTGCCATGCGGCCACGGGAGGGGTCTCACCTGCAAGTGTGAGATGCCTTGCACACCTCACATGGTGGCCTGCTCAGAACTGGATGCTACCTTCAGGTCTGTTTTCTAAAGTTGTGAGTATTGAGACAATGAATACGATGGTTCAGTAATTTAAATGTACTTATTTTTAACGGGAGAATTTGGTTAAAAAGAAGCTAATTGACATGAAAATGTCTGAAATTTCTTACGTGCAAAGAAAGTGAACATTTTGTATTTAAAAACTGTAATGTGCAAATTTTGAAATAAAAAAACCTGATGTTTGGAAAATTGTATTCTGAAATGAGAGCAACTGGGAGGTATGTAGAACCTCTAGTGTATGGACCACACACTTAGCTCTAGAACACATGTGTCAAACACAAGGCCCGCGGGCCAAATCCGTCCCGCCAGGCCTTGCAATGTGGCCCGCACCGCGCTGTCATCACTGCACTTTGCTGCGTTTCCATCACAATGACAGTTTATGACTGTTCAGTAAACCATTCGGCCCGCGATTTAGGCTGGATTTTAGATTTTGGCCCTTCTCTGATTGAGTTCGACACCCCTACTCTAGAACGTCTAGGAACAGAGGGTTTGAAGACACCCCAGGGTCAGGTGGAAGGGTAAGACGGGGATAAACTACAGATGGCTCCTGAGACGAGCACCCAGCAGCCTTCCACAGAGCTGGGAGAAGTGGGGTGGGAAGGGGGGGGGGGGGGACAGGCAGCCAACTGCATACACTGGGGAACCCCCCAGGCCCTGCCTGCCACCACACAGCTCTGGGTGTGGCCTTCCTAGATCACTCTGCCACAGAGCCACATGCCTGGCCTCTGCCCTGACACCAGTTTGTTGCCTCGGGTTCTGACTGGATTTCCCCTGCCCCCTCCTCTGCTTGGTGGGAAGAGGTCTCTAGTAACAGCGTGTGTGGCTGGAGGGACACCTGCTGGCTGCAGTGTCTGGCTTCATTTCCCTGCCGGGCTGTGTGGTCACCCCTCCTGGCTTTTCCCAGGCCCTTCCCTCAGAACACAGGCAGCCCCCAGGGTGCAGTTGGGGCAGAGCACAGGGGACCAATGTGTATGGCAGCCAGGGTTGTGCTGGTGTGGGTGCAGGCTCATCATCAGTGACCCCCCCCCCCTTCAGGCCCTTGATTCCTGAGCATTCTTGGGGACACCCCAGATGCCCCTCCTCCAGGCTGCAGTGGGAGTGGGGCTGTGGCCCGAGGTCAGGAGGCTGTTGATGCAGAGCCGGCCTATGGGGCCTAAGCAGGGCCAGCAGGCCAGAGACGCCCTCCCAGCCGGGCCTGGACATCCTTCCAGGAGGCTGATGCAGGAGCAGCCGGTGGGGCACCCACTTGCCACCAATGCCCAAGCCTGTGGGCGGGGCAGGGGGACAAGGAGATGGGCAGGGAACAGAGAGGGGCGGGGGTGGAAAGGGTGGCAGGCCGAGGGATAGATGGCAGGAGGTTGGTGACTCTCGCCTCCTTCAGCACTGCGGTCAGCGCTGGGCCCTGAGGCTGGGGTGGCCATGTTGTGCCCACAGAGACGTGGGCAGCTCGACGTGGACCCAGGCCTCCGAGTGCTCCAAACCCACCCGGGGGTCAAGGAGGAAGACGGCAGAGTGCCATCTGAGCCCCTCCAGCCGAGCTCCGAGCCCCCCTGCCCTACTGGTGGCCGAAATAGGCCCAGGGCTGCTGTCTGCACCTTCAGTGGGACCCGGGGTAAGAGAAGCCCAAGTTTAAGGCCTCAAGCAAGGAATGGAGGGCAAGAGGCGTGGAGGCCAGCAGAGACCACCTGGGCACAGACGCAGAGGGCAGAGGGAAAGGGAGTCCCAGAAACCAGACCTTGGGCCACAGTAGAGATGGGAGAAGAGGGGAGGGTCAAGGGCCAGGAGCTCTGCCATCGTTCATGGTGGTTTGGGGGGCTTGGTCCAGGCACCCAGAACAGAAGGGGCTTTCCTGAAGGCACTGCTGGGCCAAGTGGTGGTGCAGGCGGGAGGTGCCAAGTTTCTCTAGAGACCCACCTCCGAGCTCCCACAGTGCCCAGCAACCCTCCCCAACCAGCCCAACAGCCCAACACCGGACCCCTAACGGGGCCCGGCCAAACTCTGCTCCCCAAGGGCCATATTCCATCACCACTGACACTGGCGGCATTGTTGGTGGGCCAGCCAGATGCCTAGCGAGTGGGTCGTTGCCTCCTCCACATGCTGCCTGCCCGCCCTTCCACAGTCACAGCCCCTCTCAGACAGCCTCCGCAGCAGCCAATACTCTGCTGGGAGCCAGGGCTTGACTCCCCTGCCCTGAGCTCAGGGTGACACTGCAGAGTGAGATGAAGGGCTGTGTGCTGGCTGCAGGGGCCTCTGATCAAAACCAAGACTTCATAGACTGGGGGCTACCGGCAGAAGACAGGGCAGGGGTGGGGGCCTTCTGTGGGACCCCAGTGCAGGGCCTGGAGCGGGCACCAACCTGCCAGTCCCCTAGCACTTCCTGAACCTGGCCACTCCCTGTCCCACCCTGCAAGGGGCCCACCCTGCTGAGTCCTGATGGTGGCCTGCAGGGGGCTTTGCCCTGGGTAGATCAGGTCTACAAGCGGGACGAGTGGGTCCCTGCAGGCTCACCTGTTGGACTGGGGTGCGATGTCCTGTGCAGGCCGGGCGCTGAGGTGGAGAGCAGTATGTGGGGTTCTCCCCTATAGAACCGCCTCCTTCCCGCACCCACTCGAAGCGGAAGCTCCAACCAGGAGGTCTGCGCCGCCTCAGCTCCCGGTGGTTCTCCGGCCCTTGGGCGACGTTCACCCCCGGAGTCTGGGTGGCGTTCGTGCGGATCCGACGGCCTCACCAGGCCTTCCAGGTGTGGCTCTGAGTTCGAGCATTGGCGGCTGCAGGACCCTGGCCCTCCCTGGTCCTCCTCGCAGGACCCTGGAGTCCAGGCCTCAGCCGGAGCCCGGCCGTGGCGCAGGGCGAGGAAACGGCGGGGGGCTGGCGGCCCCAACCCGGCTCCTCTCTGCCCGCACAGGTCCCGGCAAAAAGGGATCAGAGCGGCGGCCCCGCCCCGCCCCGCGCCCCGCCCCCGGCGCTCCGCCCTCCCCGCGGCGGAGGCTGAGCCCCCGGCGGCCCGCGGGCGCAGCGCCCAGCAGCTCGGGAGCAGCTCGGACGTCGGCCCGGGGCCACTGAGGCCGCGGCCTGGCGGGGCCCCGAGGAAGTTCGGGGCCGGATCGCGGCGGCCCCGGGCGGCGGCCCATGGAGGCGAGCGGGGAGCTGGGCCCCGGCCGGGAGGCGGCGGGCGGCGACCTGCTGCTGGCGCTGCTGGCGCGGCGGGAGGACCTGCGCCGAGGTGGGTGCTCGGGGGTCGACCCTCCCCGGGAGACCCAGGTCCTCGCGCCTTGGCGGCCAGGCCACGGGACCCACGGGGCCTCCCCTGAGCGCCCAGCAGCAAGTTTGCGCCGGCCCGGGCGCTGGGTGCTGGGCGTGTGGTCCTGGGCGGGAGGGTCCCGGGGGACAGTCCCCCACGCTCTCCCGGGCAGAGACGCAGGCCGGGGCAGCGGGACCCCGGCCGCCGGTTCCCTCAGTCGGACTCTGGCATCTGCACCCACGGGCGCCTGCTCCGTTAGTCGCTCCGGCGGGTCCTCTGGATCCTCCTGCAGCCGAGCCCCCAACTTCCTGGGGGCGCAGCCTCGCCCCTGCCCCCACCCAGCGCTTGGCTCCGAGGAGCTGGGACCTTTCCGGGCCTCTGCGGGCGGGACCGATGGAGGCGGAGGCGGTCTGGCTGTGGGGACCGGCCGCTCCTGCTCGGGGCAGTGGGAAAGGGGGTGACATCCGGGCTGTGGGGTCTCGTCCCTCCCTCCTTATTTATAAATTTATTTCCCGGCGGGTCTGGGGGTGGGGGTGGCTGCCGGGCTGTGAGGAGGGGGCGGGAGGGCTGAGGGGGAGGGAGGGGCGGGCGCGCAGAAGCCGCTCAGAGAGGCGGACCGGAGAGGCGGCGGCGCGAGGTGGTGCGGGGCCCGCGGAGCCGAGGGCAGGAGACCCGCCGGCAGGAGCCCCGCCACCGCCCGGGGCCGCCCGGGGCCGCCATGCAGCGTAAGGCCGGGGCGAGGGTCCGAGCGGCGCGGGGGCGGGGGAAGCTCTGCCAGCTGCGGAGCGGAGCGTGGAGCGCGGGGACGGACCGGCCGGCGCTGTCCGGGCCGCGGGTGCTGAACGCGCGGGGAGGTCTGCCCGGCCCCGCGCTGCGCCGCGTCCTCCTCCGCCTGCGCCGCCCACAGCGAGGCCGCCGGACAGCGGGTCTGGGCTCGGCACCCGGCGCGGTTTTGCCCGACGCGGGACCGCGTCCTCCGCGGGTTCCAGGGCTGCGGGAGGGAGGCTGGTTCCGTCCTCTTCTATGCCCCCGCCTCCCTCTCTGTCCCCGGCCTGGAGCCTCAGGGGTCCAGCAGCCGGGTGAGCCAGTGAGGGGTGCGGTGCTAATGGGGGTTCAGCTGCTGTGCGGGCCCTCTCCTCCCCGGAGATCTTTCCTGAGGAGCAGGGATCCTCAGCCATGAGCACCCCGAAAAGCCCCTCGCGGACCCAGGGATCCCCTGCCTGGTCTCCAGGGGCCTGCAGTCCCAGGGGAGCAGAACCCAGGAACCTGCTGTTGAAGTGGCTACGGCTGAGAGGGGGGGCAAACCGCCTACTGTGTGCTGAGCATGGGGCTGTCGGATCCATTTGTCCAGTCCACTCACCAGCACCGCAGCCGCCCAGAGACGGGAGGGCACCGGCTTTTACCTGGCGGCACAGGAGTCTCTCTCTGTCAGGATGCCTGATTGTGCAGAATCATGAGGGCAACTGGGTGGTAGGTTCCCCACGACTCACGTGCCTGGCCCCCAGCGACGGGGCCCTTTCCCAGCCTGCCTCTGAGTGCTCCTGGGGCAGGTTTCCCTCCGAGCTCAGTGTGCACTCCCTCCCCGGGACCATTTTGTAATGAGCACTTTCTGGCCGAGGGACTAGCCTGCCCACCTGCTTGCTCACGAGCACAGACTAAACCTATTTCGGTTTCATAAGTTCTCGTTACAGGCTGGGCTGCGGGCTCCCTGCCCTGGGGGTGGCTGGTAAGAGAGTGTGCGGGGAAGGGGTCCTATGTCCTAGGGCCAGGGTGGGAGCGTGACCCCGACTCCCCCTGCCTCGCAGAGATCCCGCTGTGCGCTGGCTGTGACCAGCACATCCTGGACCGCTTCATCCTCAAGGCCCTGGACCGCCACTGGCACAGCAAGTGCCTCAAGTGCAGCGACTGCCACACGCCCCTGGCCGAGCGCTGCTTCAGCCGAGGGGAGAGCGTGTACTGCAAGGACGACTTCTTCAAGTGAGCCGCTGCCCGCTGCCCCCGCTGCCCGCTGCCCCCCGCTGCCCACTGACTGCTGCCCACTGGCCATTGCCCGTTGCCCACTGCCCACTGCCTGCTGCCCCCGCCCGCTGCCCACTGCCCACTGCCCACTGCCCATTGCCCACTTACCGCTGCCCGCTGCCTACTGCCCCCCTGCTGCCCACTGCCCACTGCCAACTGATCACTGCCCACTGACTGCTGCCCACTGCCCACTGCCTGCTGCCCCCGCCCGCTGCCCACTGCCCACTGCCCACTGACTGCTGCCCACTGGCCATTGCCCATTGCCCACTGCCCACTGCCTGCTGCCCCCGCCCGCTGCCCACTGACTGCTGCCCACTGACCACTGCCCGTTGCCCACTTACCGCTGCCCACTGCCCACTGCCCTCTTCCCACTGCTGCTGGGGAAGGGGACAGGTACCGGAGCTGCGGTGCCAGGACCAGGGTCTAGACTCCCAGCAACAACCACCCTAGGACACCCTGAGCCCTGTCACCCCGGCTGGGCACCACAGGCCTCTGCGAGGGCAGCTGGGCAGGGTTAGCCCATCAACACGTTATGTTTTTACGTAATTTTGTTTTTATGTAATTATTTTGTTTTTATGTAATTTTGTTTTTACGTAATTTTGTAAGCGTTGAGTCAGTCGTTAAAAAGGTAACCCCGCGTTGGTAGGACTCTGTGGGCTCCCTCCTTAGTTTTGGTCGTGTTTTTGTTCTTAATACTGAGGGTGAGGGCTGCTTTCCGGCAAGCCTCCAAGGACGCATCTTCCCCGGCGCCATCGGGGCGGCTCCCCCCGGCTCTGCTGGGGCTGCGGGGCTGGACCGCCCTGCGCCCTCCCGCGCCCGCTCCGGGCGAAGGCGCCGCCGCGCTGAGCCGCCCTGTGGTCCCGCAGGCGCTTCGGGACCAAGTGCGCCGCGTGCCAGCTGGGCATCCCGCCCACGCAGGTGGTGCGCCGCGCCCAGGACTTCGTGTACCACCTGCACTGCTTCGCCTGCGTGGTGTGCAAGCGGCAGCTGGCCACGGGCGACGAGTTCTACCTCATGGAGGACAGCCGGCTGGTGTGCAAGGCGGACTACGAAGCGGCCAAGCAGCGAGGTTAGTGGCGGGCGGCCGGGTCGGAGCCTTACTCTGCAAACGGGTGAGGGCCAGACGGTGGGGCGCAGGGACCCCGCCTCCCACACCGCCGCAGCGAGCGCTCTCGGCGCCAATCGGAGGGCCGCCCTTCCGCCGGGTAGGAGGGCACCGGCCCAGGGCCGGCGGGCAGGTTCAGACCCTCTTGGGAAGCGGGTCCGGACTCCGGCAGCCGGGCGCGCAGCGGGGCTGGTCTGACTGCGAGGTATCACTCCTCCTCGGGTTTACCCTCCTAACCCCCAACCGGGACATCGGGCTCCCCGCGCTGCGCGTAGAGCAGAGAGGATGTGGAGCAGCGTTGCTGGCGGCCGAGGCTGGAGGCGCGGGCAAGGGGGCTGCGGGTCCCTCCTAGAGGCGGGAGCCGCCCTCCGCCCTGGCGTCAACCCACCCCGTTCCCCTTCTCCTGCGAAGCCACGCGGGGTACGCATGAGGGGCCCCGTCCCCACACACGGAGGGGCGGGGAGGGGGCGCTGGGCGCTGGGCGGAGCGGGCCGGCCTCACGGCTCCCCCGGTGCAGAGGCCGAGGCCACGGCCAAGCGGCCACGAACGACCATCACGGCCAAGCAACTGGAGACGCTCAAGAGCGCCTACAACACGTCGCCCAAGCCCGCGCGCCACGTGCGGGAGCAGCTGTCGTCGGAGACGGGCCTGGACATGCGCGTCGTGCAGGTCAGCGCCCGGCCCGGCCGCTCTCTGCTCCTTCCCCGCCCGCCCGGGACTCCCCGCGCCCTCCCCGCCCGCCCCGGCCACTCACCGCATCCTCCCCGCCCGCCCGGGACTCCCCGAGCCCTCCCCGCCCGCCCCGGCCACTCACCGCATCCTCCCCGCCCGCCCGGGACTCACCCTGCCCTCCCCACCCGCCCGCCCTGGACTCCCCGCGCCCTCCCTGCCCGCCCGCCCGGGACTCCCCGCGCCCTCCCCGCCCGCCCCGGCCACTCACCGCACCCTCCCCGCCTGCCCGGGACTCCCCGAGCCCTCTCTGCCCGCCCCGGCCACTCAGCGCACCCGCTCCACCCTCCCGGGCCGCTCTCCGCACCCTCCCCGCCCGCCCGGGACTCACCCTGCCCTCCCACCCGCGCCGGGCCTCCCCGCGCCCTCCCTGCCCGCCCGCCCGCCCGGGGCTCCCCGCGCCCTCTCTGTCCGCCCCGGCCGCTATCCGCACCCTCCCCGCCCGCCCAGGACTCACCCTGCCCTCCCCGCCCACCCGGCCGCACACAGATCCCTGCCCGCCCGGCCCGGCCGCTCTCCGCACCCGCTCCGCCTGCCCGGGCCGCTCACTGCCTCTCCCCGCCCGCCCGCTGCACACCGGTCCCTGCCCGCCCGCCCGGGGCTCCCCGCGCCCTCCCCGCCCGCCCGGCCGCACACAGATCCCTGCGCCCTCCCCGCCCGCCCGGCCGCACACAGATCCCTGCGCCCTCCCCGCCCGCCCGGCCGCACACAGATCCCTGCCCGCCCGCCCGGGGCTCCCCGCGCCCTCCCCGCGCCCTCCCCGGCCGCACACAGATCCCTGCCCGCCGCAGGTGTGGTTCCAGAACCGCCGCGCCAAGGAAAAGAGGCTCAAGAAGGACGCGGGCCGGCAGCGGTGGGGCCAGTACTTCCGCAGCATGAAGCGCCCCCGCGGCGCCCCCAAGTCCGACAAGGACAGCGTCCAGGAGGAGGGGCCGGACAGCGACGCCGAGGTCTCCTTCACGGGTACGGCCGGGCCACCCCGCCTCGCCCCTTCTCCCGGAGAGCTCACCCGGGTCGGGAGAAGCCAGAAACCGGTGATGGTTACAGGGAGACCAGATGGCCTCAGCCTAACTTCAAACACTTGTCACCTTCACCCCCACCCCCAAGCCCTGTGGGGTGGCCGCTCAGGACCCTGCCCTCCCTGGGGCGACCCCTCACCCCGTCCCTAGCAGGCGGGCCTATGGGGGAGGGCCCAGGCTCTCCTCCAGCCAGGGCGTGAGTTTTAGGGAAGTGGGCAGCACAGGTGGGGTCAGTGATTAAAACCTGCTGCTCGGTGGGGAGCCCCCCTCCCCCACCCTCCTGGGACCCAGGACCTCAGTCTCCCTCCATGTGATCCTCACACTTTCTTTTCATTTGATCCCGAGCGTAGGCCACCGTCCAGCCTCTCTGGGCCTCAAATAACTTGTGGGCAAAATGGGGGTGGGGATGAACTCTGTGCTCCCCTCCCAGGGCAGCGTGGGGTCATCCTGGAACCTGGGTCCCACCAGGGAACCCCATTCCTCAGACACCAGGTGGGACTGACAGAACAAAACAAAACAAAAAAAGCAGTGTGGACGGGTGGAAGGGTGGACGGGTGGACGGGTGGACGGGTGCAGGGGTGGAGGGGTGAAGGGGTGGACGGGTGGATGGGTACAGGAGTGGAGGGGTGATGGGGTGGACCGGTGGAGGGGTGGACGGGTGGACGGTTGGACGGGTGGACGGGTGGATGGGTGGATGGGTGGAGGGGTGGAGGGGTGGAGGGGTGGAGGGGTGCAGAGGTGCAGGGGGCAGAAGAGCAGAAGAGACGGGTGGGGCGGGTCACAGGCAGGCAGAGGGGGCCCGAGTGCAGGAGGCGGGCACCCACCACCGCCCTCTGCTTCTGTTGCAGAAGAGCCAGCCATGGCAGAGATGGGCCCCACCAACGGCCTCTATGGCAGCCTGGGGGAGCCCACCCCGGCCTTGGGCCGGCCCTCAGGAGCCCCCGGCAGCTTCCCGCTGGAGCACAGAGGCCTGGCCGGCCCCGGCCCGGAGCAGTTCCGGGAGCTGTGCCCCAGCAGCCCCTGCGCTGTCCCCCCGTCCCCCGCGGCCCTGCAGAGCCTCCCTGGCCCCCAGCCGCTCCTCTCCAGCCTGGTGTACCCCGAGGCCGGCCTGGGCCTCGTGCCCCCGGGGGCTCCGGGGGGGCCCCCGCCCGTGCGAGTGCTGGCTGGGAACGGACCCAGCTCCGACCTGTCCTCGGGGAGCAGCGGGGGCTACCCCGACTTCCCCGCCAGCCCCGCCTCCTGGCTGGACGAGGTGGACCACGCCCCGTTCTGACCGAGGCCCCAGCTCCGCTGGCACTGCGCCCTCCTTTCCGGACCTCAGTCGTGGTGCCGCCGCGGGTGCTGCCAGGACAGGATGAAGATGAGGAGCCAGTGGAGGGGGCGCCCCGCCCGCACCCCCACTCTCGGGCAGGACTGTCTGCCTCTCCTCCTCCGACCAGGGCTGGCACGCTGTGGGCGCCCAGAAGCCTGTTCTGTACGCAGACCTCTCCCTTTATTGACCAACGAACGGAGGGCGTGTGCTGATTGTGGAGGAGAGCCCGCTCCCGCCCGGCCCTCGGCCTCTTCCCGGCCCAGCCCAGCCCGGCCCGGCCAGCAGGAGACACATTCATTCCCAAAACAGAAAAACTCTGCGGATCCTGCCTTCAGTCCAGGCCACCTGTGACCCCAGAGACTGCCTCCTCTTTCCAGCTGAAGGCAGCGTGGGGGTGGGCACCTGTGTCCTTTCGGCTCCCTCTAGGGAGCTCCCTGACACCGAACCCCCTTCCCCAGGAGTCCGTCACCCCCACCGAGGGCACAGGGCTCGGTTCTGCCGTTCTCGCCGGACTCCACTGGCCGCTGGAGTTGACAACTCCCTGGGGGCCCTGGTGGGCCCAGCCCTTCGCCCGCCAGCAGCTCCCTCCCAGCCAGGTCTGGTTTTCTCCCCTCCCCAGCCCAGCCGCTGGCCTCGGCGTCCGGCCACGCCCAGACCACCCATTTCCGTTGCCAAACAGCCGGACCTCCCTCCCCCAGCTGCCTCTAACTGCCCGGGCTGGGCTGGACTCCGCTGGAGAAGCTGAGGGCGGGGCTGCTCTGCCCCGGCCGCCTCCTCCCTCAGACCTTCTCCTCCACCTTTGGACGCAGCTGCTCAGGGGGTCCAGTCATTCCTGTGAACTGTGTCCTGCTACCGTGGGTTCTGTGACAGTCGGTCTTTTATTTATTCTCCGGCCATCGGCTTTTTCCAAACGTCATTAAATTTGTCAGTTGCTGTCGGAAAGTCCGCATCCTTAGTGAGGCTGAGGGAGGGGAGGGGTCCCTTGAAAGTGGGGGTGGGGGGTGTGGTGGTGCTGCTGGCTCCCTGCAGGGATGGCCCCTCGTGACTTGGGGCCCTTGGCCCCTGGTCTTGGCTAACTTTCCGAGCACTTAGAAGTGTGGAACGGACTGTGCCAGCCATGTGATGGGGCTGGAGCCTGGGAGAGGCAGGGGCTGGGGTACGAGACAGAACATGACAGCACAGCTCACGGCTTGGAGCTGGCACCATTGAAGGGTCAGCTGGTCAGGAGTTGTGGTCACATGCTCATGGGGGTCTCTCCAACTTGGATTCTAGTCCCTGCCATCTGCTCGCACACTTGCTGTGTGACCCTGGGCCAGTGGCCTGCCCCTCTGAGGAGACAGTGGTGACAGCTTGGGAAGGGGGGACAGGAGAGGAGAGCCCGTGACGTGGGGCTCCTCGCCCTCCCAGAGACTCCGGAGAGCTGGGCGCCAGGGTGGGGAGCGGAGGACGGCAGCCTGGGCCGTTGTGGGAGGAGCAGGTGCTCCCGAGTCGGCCCCTGAACCAGACAGCCTAGCTGGCTTCAGTCAAGTGGCCCCCAGCCCACCTACCCCAGGCCAGCTGCCCTCCAGGGCCTGGAGCACAGTGCCAGGGGGATGTCACAGAGCCCGCAAGCCCAGGAGGACCCTTGGAATCTGGGCTGGAGCGTTCTGGGCAGCCTTGGGAAGGGTGGGGAGGCAGGGGGAGATGAGGTGCTGGTGGCCATTCTGGGGCACAGCATGGACATTGAGGGCAAAGGTGCCCATTGTGAGGCGAGGTGTCAGGGCTGAACTGGGCGTGGGCTCAGGTTCAGGGACCCAGGGGAGCAGCGGGCGGGGTGGGTGGGTCCTGAGGGGGTGACCTGTTCTCTGAGGGGAAATCGAAGGCACCTGGGTGGGACTCAGGGTGTAGGGGTTTCAGGCGGTGACGGGCAGCCCAGGGGGATTTTAACTCAGATGTCCCACCCCCAGCCACCGGGACCTGCGGGTGCTGGCAGGTTAATAAAGTTCTGAGTGTCCTGCGGGGCCTGCCATTCCCGTTCCTGCCGAGCTCACTGCACGGTGAGCTCACTGCACGGTGACCGGCCTTCTGGGTGTCTGCACCCGGTCTGGCAGGGCCTGCAGATGGGGCTCTCAGGCCACATCCCACCTCCCGACCGCCCACTGCAAACTGCCAGCCTTAGTTCCCCATCTCAGGACGGTAGCTCCCTGGGCAGACGTGCAGGCTCAGCCCGGCTCCCACACAGCCCAGCCGCCTGGTCCTGACAGCCCAGTGCGGGCGGAGGCGCTGCGGTCCCTGAAGGTCGAGCAGCCCAGCGTTTGGGCCCCCCCTGGAGGGGTCACCTAGAAAACACCCCTTCCCCCCACACGGTGAACCCCATGAGCTGGCGGAGCGACTAGGCCCATGTGGTGTCCAAGAGTGTGAGGGTCCAGGGACCCTCCTTCCAAAGGAGCCAGGCGGAGGGAGCCCAGCCCGAAGCCCAGGGCGCAGACTGCCGGCTGGGCCAGGGACCAAGGCGGGCGGTGCCTTTTGTTCCCGCTGTTCGGGTGGGAGGGGGAGCAGAGGGGCGCTGTGGGGAGCACCTGGCGGACACAGAACATCCCTGGCCCTGGCTTGTTAACCTCTTTCCCTAATGCAAACCACTCTTCCACTTCCTTCCTTTTAACTCTCCAAGGACCTCTTTTCTTCTAAATGTAAAATGTGCACTCGGGTGAAGGCTCAAAGGACCCTCCCAAATCAGACACCCCTCTCTTCCTGGTGCCAGGGGACACCCCCTCCCTCCCTGATGCCAGGGGACACCCCATCTCTCCCTGAGACGAGGGGTCACTCCTCCCCTCAGCATCACCTTCCTCCTCACCATCTGACACAGACTGAAGGGTTTGTCTGGGGATTGTCCCCCCAAAAGGGGCAGGAGGTGGGGTCTGGCTCGGGTCCCAGGTGGGGTTGACCAGCAGGACCTAGGTCCTGGGTTCCAGAGGACTCGCCTGGACACTAAACCCCAGGGGCTGGAACGATGGATTCTGGGAGCCCATAATTGTTGGAATTACTCTGAGCAACATGAAGCATTAATTTTAAGAAATTTAATAGAAAAAAGGCTCTTTAACCCCCCTCTCCCTCCCGAGATAAATGGCACCGCGTCCGGCCTTCTGCACACCTGGTGACATTGACGGATCTGAAACTTATTTACATTTTCATTCTTCGTGGGAGATGTTGACAAGCTTTTGGCCACGGTGAGGGCTCGGGGTGGGAGCGCCCCCTCCTCCCTAATTAATGGGGAAGCAGCGACTTCATACGCAGGATTGTCATCACTCTGCCTGGCAACAGGGACGGCGCCTGCTCCTCCCGGAGCGAGGTTCATTTTTTACCATAAAAATATTCCTCCTGACCAGCCAGCCCCTCCCCGCGTTCAAGGCCAGACAGGAGGCTGAGAAGCAGCTGTCCGCCCGCCCCCCCCACCCTCCCCTCCCCCCCACGGATGGAGCCCAAGGCCAAGCCTGGGGGAGGCCAGGACGCGGTGGGTGTGGGAGTGGGAGTGGGAGTGGGCGAGAGCCTGTGTGTGTGCGTACAGCAGGCCTGGAGGTCACCCTGCAGGAAGCCCCGTGCACACACAGCCTTCACCCTCCATCCCCATGTCCTGGAGAGACCGTCCAGGTAAGGGGGCTCATGGGGTTACTGAATGAGATGAATCGGATGGTCCTAGCGGGGCTGCTGGGCTCTGGAGCCTGAGACGAGGGCTGGGTGCGCCCTGGCTCCCTGCTGGGTCCTGCCATCTGTCCCCCAGGCCCTGGCTCCCTGCAGCCCCTGGGCATTCGCTCACCCTCTCTAGCCTGCAAAGCTCGGGGAGCACACCTTCCTTCCAAGGTCCCCGTGAGGCTCGAGGAGGGAAAGTGGGGAGCAGGCACAGATTGGGGGGGGGGCAGACGGGGGGAGGGCTTGGCGAACTCGGGACAGCCTCTGGACGACCTTCCTCGGACCTGCGTATCCTCAGACTCGGAGCTCAGTGCTCCGTGCGGACACGTGTGTGCATAAGGACATGCTCACACATGTGCCTGTTCACCACTCCCACACGCCATACACACACAGCTCCCACTCACATGCACTCCCCAAGAGCCAGCGTACGAGTGAGTTGTGCTGGCTGAGAGGGTCCTCATTGGGCATGTCTGTCCACATGCCCCTTGGCCTCCCGCCATGCAGGGGGAGTTAGGTGGGCTGAGCCCAGGGCCCCATCCGAACGTGTAGGGAAACCGGCTTGGTGCTGAGGCCCTGGCGCTCTGTCCTCATGCTCCGCCGTCTCCTTTGGCCAGTGCCTGCCCCGCGGAGGGTGGGTCAGCAGAGGCCGGCGGGGGCCAGCAGCAGGAGGTAGGGCCCAAGGTGCAGGCCTGCGGGGGAGGGGGGTTCTGTCCTCGCTCCGTGGCCCCAGCTGTGGGGTGGCCTCACCTCTGGTTCCTCATCCTGGTCAACAAGCCCAGGGGATCCACACACTCCAGTCTTCAGGGAAACCGAGTCAGAGCCACACCCAAGGCCCCGTCACACACACACACACACACACACACACACACACACACACACTATGGCTACAACAATAACAAAACCACAGGCAGGAACCCGGCAGCTGAAGGTGTGGGACCCGGACCCTGAGCGTGGCTGTGGATGCCATGGAGTTACCACATGGCAATCCCACTCCCAGATGAGCACCCAGAGGAGGTCCTGCGGGACTCACGCTCTTTCCCAGAAGCACTGCGGGTGAGAGCGGAAGGCGGAGACAGCCCAGCGCCCACGATGAATGACTGAATTAAAAACGTGGCCCCCACTCCCCAGGCTGTCGCTCAGCCATAAAACGGAGGGATGCTCGGACCCAAGGACACACATAGCAGCACGGAGGGGCCGGGAGAACACGGAGGAGCCTGGAGAACACAGAGAAGCCTGGAGAACAGGAGGAGCCGGGAGAACAGGGAGGAGCCCGGAGAACAGGGAGGAGCCTGGAGAACAGGGAGGAGCCTGGAGAACA